GAGCAGGAAAGCTGGGTTGGTGGGAAGGGTGGATTTGGGGGTGGGAGGGTGACAAACCCCCTTGTTTAGGGGGTGAAATGCCCCACCACACACCCAGGTGTGCATCACCCTTTTCTGGGAACCACCTGGATCCAAAGGAGTGAATTCTTCTTTCAGATCCCTTGTTTGTTGTTGCGCTGTACGATTTTCCTGCCTCGAGTGACCGTGACTTGGAGCTGGTCAAGGGTGAGAAACTCCAGGTCCTCTCCAAGTAAGTGACCTGCTGCCCTGAGGAAATTCAGAAATGAGCACAGGGAGGCTGAGAAAGGGGGAAACCTTGGGGTCAGCCACCACTGTGCTTTGGCTTTGCTCCAGCATGGCTGTGCCCTCTTCTCTCTGCATGGTGACACTTTCTTGGGTCACAGATCCTCTAGGGCTGGATATTGTCCCTGCCTGGTGGCACTGGGACCTTCTCTGCTGTCCGTGGGTGCAGAAGTAGCGTAAATAACAACAACCAAAAAAAGAAAAACCCCAGCTCCTGTCCTGAGTTTGTGCTGATTGTGCTTCTGCAAAGGATGTGGGTTGGGTGTAGTCAGAGGAAAGGACAGAACTGAGCCAGAGACTTGAGAGGTTTCATTTCAGCTTCTCAAACTTACCACAGAAGAGGCCCAGACCAGGGCAGAGGTGGGCTTGGGGTCCCCAGAGTCTGTGGTGCTGCTGTGAGGTGACCTTCAGAGGTGACATTTCTCACCCAGATGCCATGGGCTGAGATCCGTGGGACACAGAGAAGAAACCCCCGTGTGGGGATGGCTTTGGGTTGTGGCTGTTGGCTCAGCCAACAGTGGGAGAGCAAAGCAGGGTGTCTGGAGGATGAAGGAGCTAAAAGGACCCTCAGTGTCCCTATTCAAGAGACAAAAGAACTCTGTGACCCAGATTTTCCTCCTCTCACTTGAGGTGTGTAGCAAATGTTTGGGTCTGTGGTCACCCCACTTTCATGGAAAGAAACTGTCAACTCCACAAGTCCCTCAAACACCAACAGCCCCCAAAATTGGTCCTTGGGAATCTGGAGGGATCTGGAAAGGAGCCCTTGTCCCTCTGCAGTGCTCAAACCCCACAATCCACATCCTCAGAGCCTCAGCTTGGCACAAAACCCCCTCTGGGCACTCACGATTTTCCCTCTGCTCCCTTTGCAGTGAGGGCGAGTGGTGGCTGGCAAAATCCCTGAGCACTGGGAGGAAAGGATACATCCCCAGCAACTTCGTGGCACAAGTGGACAGTTTGGAAGAGGAAAAGTAAGTGGGAAAGCTTTTGAGTGCTGAACATGAATGCAGTGCCCTGGATCCCAGCAAACTCCAGGATGATCTTTATTAATGGCAGGAAGATGGCACTGCTGGGCTGGGTGGCAGGAGGTCTTTSCTCATCCCAAACAATGCAAATTTTAAGCATCATTTGGTGTGGAAAGAGAAGATGAGGTTTTAACTGGAAAAAGGGCAAAGGCTCTTGTCCCACTAATTTTTCCCATTGTGAGAAATAAGGATTTGGGGTGGGGGACAACATAAAGGTGATGGTGGCAGTGTCAAGGACCATCCTCTGGGCCACTGGGCCAATCCACCATCACAAATGGCATCAAACCTCTTCACCCTCCAAGAGAACATCCATAAAYTGGGAATCTCTGGATGGGGTGCATTGATCCAGGCCTTGGATGTGCCAGGGACAGCACCAACAATTTAACAGGACAGCCAAGTGCCAATGCCCAGACCCACAATTCTGGATTTTCAATGAGCCCAGATGCAGCCTCCCTGCAAGGAAGGTGGAAACAAAACCTTGAGTCAAAGGAGTTTGTTTTGCCTGCAATACAAACAGCAGGGGAATTTTTTTCCATGAGTTCTCCTCCTCTCTGGTATTCAGCTCTAAATGCTCAGTCCTGCCTGCAATCTCCTCTTGGAGGGACCCAACCATCACTGAGTTCTGCAAATATTCAGCAGCGCACAAAAACGTGGCTGAGACATAAAAGCTCTTTGTACCCAAAGCCTGAACTTCCCCTGTGTATGAGATCCTGCATATCCCATCTACTTCCTTCTCTCTCTGAATTTCCAGGCTRTGAAACAAGCACAAAAGGACCAAAATCTGATGTTAATCTACCCAAAACTGTCTATTATTGCCACTTTCCATCATATAGCACACTATTTGCTGATAAAAATAATCCTCAGTTTCACAGTGTAATGGCAAAAAAATAGAACTAATTGGAAAAAAAAATCCACTTTTTTTAGAGATTTTCCTTTTCAAGTGATGATTTCTCCTTTTCTCCTTCTCAGGTGGTATTTTAGAACTCTGAGCAGAAAAGATGCTGAACGGCTGCTGCTGTCTTCTGGGAACAAAGTTGGCTCTTTCCTCGTCCGGGAGAGCGAAACCACCAAAGGTGAGATCTGTGGAGCAAA